CCCCCCCCCCCCCAAGTAGTTTATTTACCAGAACATGATTAATACAACTATAGTGTGACTACTGTATCAACAATGTGACTATTGTGTAAACAATGTGACTATTGAATTTAATTACACTTAGACATTAATCATGCACCTTGCATAGTTTGAAGAGGCAGTAAGAAATAAGTACAATGAGACTTTAGTATGACTAGATTATTGCCCCCCCTCCAAATATTGTATTTAACAGAACAATATGAATACGACTACAATGTGACTACTGTAATAACAATGGTATATGGTTGGCCACAACAGATTCTTCTGTACATAGATACCCAGCCGAAGCACGTGATCCTGTCAAAGTATTCCAAAGAGGTGGTTCGTTTTATGCTGGCAATTTGTCGTTTTCAAGTGTCAGAGTTTCACTAGAAGGTTCCACGCCTGTGAGTAACTTTTTTTTTTTGCGGAACTAAATATTAGTTGCATGCATTTTTTCTTAAAAAATCGTGTCCAGTTAATTTTCAGAATCAGTTAATTCTTTTTTCTATTAAAAAATTCAGATCCTATTAAGACTCCAAGATATGCTGTATAAATTTGTTAGAAGGATTATTAGGCAAATAAAGCAATTGACCAAATCACGCATGTAGATAAAGGAGAATCACGTCCACCTATAATAAAGGGAAACGGTTATGGAAAGATATCGTGATTAAATATTTGATTTATTATAAAAACCATTAATAAGGGTACTTATGTCTTATTATGTTTAATTGAGGGGGTTTCACTAATTAAGTTTGGGATGTGGGTTTGTGCAAAAGTCTTAAAAGTCAATCGGGTTTTACTCATAATATTTTCCATTTGAGGGGGATTGCATATTTCCCCTTTAATGTAATGAAGGGAATAGGCTCTCTATCTTCGTTATTAATGTTTTCTTACAATTTTGATACATGAAATGTATTACTGTATAACATTACTTTTTTAGATTTTTAAAAGTGAAAGAAGTTTCGAAACAACATACTGGTACGTATATATATACAATCAAGAAAATAGTGGTAAATTTAATTCATTCCTTAGCTTGTGAAATATAATTTAAGAATAATATATAGTACATCCATCACATACATGATAGACACGTGTACATCAATAATTGAATAATGAACATAGTTTGTTGTCAAATGTCAACCATGAAAAACCAACTCACAGTTCAAATGCTTCTAAGAAGCAGTAGACTTGCTCTACAATCCCATAAAATCGAAATTAAAAAAAATAAATAATATAAAAAAAAAACAATATATAACAACGTAAACGCGCAATTGAGTTTTCATATTTCCTTGTTGACCAAACTAAAGTGAAAAAGACTAAAAAAATAAAAAAAAGAAAGTAAAATTCTCACGTGCAGACAAATATATAATGGATACACACACCATTTGTGTGTGTGTTCAAAGTTGGACAGCAAATCTTAAATTTAATAGAAAAGTAAAAACTATTATATTTTTCTCTCACCTCTGAGTGATCAGACCGACCGCACATATATAACCACATTTACTCTTTCATTACATATCTTCTTCATTATCTCTCTCTCTCTTCTTTCTCTCTCTAAAACAAGCTAAGAAGAAAAGCTTTTAGATTAGATATGCAGTCGTCTAGTATTATTATTGAAGAAAATCTTGACAGCCGCCATGATCGAGGTTTGTTGTACTCTGAGGAAGACGTGTGTCAGGATTTTATGAAGCTCAACAATATTTCTGAAAATGGTGATGACGTCAGAGTGGCAGAGTTTGTACTTGTTGATGATGTAAGCGACGATGAAGATGATGGTGATGATGATGATGATGATGAGGAGGAGGAGGAGGAGGAAGAATTCTCCTTCTTTTGTGGAGAAGAAAACAGATCGCCGATTGCGGCGGAGGATGCTTTCTCCGGCGGCCAGATCAAGACTGTTTTTCCGTTGTTCAACCGGGATTTGCTGTTCTCCGGCGAGGATTTGAGGTCTCTGCACGAGAGCAGCTTGCCTGCGCGGCCGCCGGTGAAGAAAGTGTTCGTGGAAACGAAAGAGGTCGAGGCTCCGGCGGCGACGTCATCCTCTGCCGGAGATGACGTCATCTCGGGACCCTACTGCGAGTGGACGTCGAACAGGAGGAGGGCGGTGGAGGCGTCGCCGCCGCCGGAGGTGTGCAAGAAGAGCAACTCCACCGGATTCTCCAAGATATGGCGGATCAAGGAATTCGCGGGGAGGTGTAACAGTGACGGAAGGGACGCTTTCGTTTTCCTGAACAACGGCAGCGCGCCGCCGCAGCCTCCGGCGGCGGCGGCGGCGAAAGCTGAGGTGAAGGCCGAGATCAAGACGGAGCAGCAGTCAACGGTGAAAATCATAAGGAAGGTGAAGAAGAGCAAAACGGCGTCGTTGTCGCCACATGAGGTGTATTTGAGGAGTAAAGCGAAGGGGGAGGAGCGGCGGCGGTCCTACCTGCCGTACAGACCGGAGTTGGTCGGTTTTTTCACCAACGTTAACGGCGGATTAACCAAAAATGTGCATCCTTTCTGAGAATTAATTAATTAGTGGTGTACATTTTTTTAGTTTCAATATTTTTTATTTTTTTTTATTTTATGCCTTGGGTTTGTATGTGTATATATATATATTGCAAATAAATTGGTTTATATTATTATATGAGGTGAAAATTATATATAAAGAGAGGTGATAAAAGAAATTAGTTTTGGTTGTATATTTGTATGTTATATATGCATATAATAATTAATATATCAGTATCTGTGTTGTTTTTAATTTGTACCTCTATTTATGAAAAATTATTTGTCTATAATTGCTGCTTAACTATAATAATTACAAATACTACTGAATTTGGTATGTGATGTCATTGTTGGAGAAAATATATTGGGATTTGGAGTGTCAGACATATTGAATGACGTGTCAGATCAGGAAGCGGTAGGTGATTTTAGTTTTCTAGAAGTGAAATGTCAAAGGCGGTTTAATGTTGACTCTGTTTTAATATACACAGAATTATTATTATTATTATTATTATTATGAAACAGAGCAAATAATATGTTCAAGATCAGAATACTTTGAACAAATTTTTGTAATTCAATTTGTTTAGAATGTAGTTAGATTTTCACTAAAAATAGTATTTATTTTTCTACATTTGTAATTGATTTTCATATATCCCCATCCTTGTACAAGAAATAAATATATTTATTAAATTAAAGATTGAAAGTATATACAAGAAAAGTTCATTGAACAAAAATTGATGAGGGTGGTGACCTCTTACCCACCTTTCTCATCAATTTCCAACAACTCTATTTTAATATTTCTCAATTCCTATCTCTTCTTTCACATATAACAATTCTTGTTGGCCATTAATTATATATATATATATATATATATATATATATATATATATATATATATATATATATATATACTGAATTATTTATTCCTTAGTAGCTTCTAGAAACTAAGAAAACCTTAATTTGATACACGTAGATTCCTGCCATGTTCTAATTAAACTTGTCCAAAATTATTCTGCATGCAGACTTTGTTCCAGCACAACCTGCGTATACGAGGTTTTCATATTATGACTATCTTTTCATTTTTTTAAGTATTATTATAATGATATAAAAGAAATGAACATAGGTAAAAATATTGAAACCATTAATATGGTAGTGCCTCAAAAGGGATGACTACAAATAACAAAAGAAAAATGATATAATAGGAGATAAATCAAGAAACGAATTGAATTAATAAAGACAGCTTTTTTAACGACTTTTTATGAGTTTATTTTAAAGAACCCTTGGCTTTTTGGTGATCCCTACGTAGAGAGAGAATCATCTTTCATACAGGAGTAGAACACCTTACGAGGTTTCTTCCGTTGCTTTTTTGTCGGCGGCGGCGGCGACGGCTGCTGGGGTTTTTGTTCTTCCTTTGTAGGTGGCGGTGGCGAGAGTTTAGTAACAGGTCCCTTTGATTCATGTTTCCCATTTGTTGGCGGCGGTGCAGGTTTAGCATCTGGATTTGGTTTCACTCCGCCCTTTGTCGGCGGCGGCGCAGGTTTAACTTCTGTTTTGGGTTTCGGTTTCGGATTTCCCTTCGCCGGCGATGGACTTTTGCCGATCTTGGGTTGCTGGGTTCTTTGTACTGTAGGTGGTAGGGCAACCTTTGATGGTGGTGGTGATGAACTTTTGCCGATCTTAGGTTGTTGGGGTTTTTGCTTTGTCGGAGGTGGCGCCGCCTTTGTCGGCGGTGGAGTTTTGCTACTCTTGGGTAGTTGGGATCTTGATACTGTGGGAGGTAGGGCAGCCTTTGCCGGCGGTTCACTTTTGCCGATCTTCGGTTGTTGGGGTTTTGCCTTTGTAGGAGGTGGCGCAACCTTTGCCGGTGGTTCACTTTTGACGATCTTCGGTTGTTGGGGGTTTTGCTTTGTTTGAGGTGGCGGAGCCTTGGATTTTGGCTTTGAAGGAGGTGGTGCCGGATTTGTCGGCGGTGGGCTTTTGCTAATCTTGGGTTGTTGGGTTTTGTGCTCGGTAGGAGGTGGAGCAGCCTTTGCTGGCGGTGGACTTTTACCGATCTTGGGTTGTTGGGATTTTGCCTTTGTAGAAGGTGGCGCAGCCTTTGTTGGCGGTGCACTTTTGCCGATCTTGGGTTGCGTTGTTGGAGGTGGAGCCGCCTTTTTTGGTGGTGCACTTTTGCCAATCTTGGGAGAATTTTGCCTCTTAGGAGGTGGAGCCACCTTTGTCGCCGATGGACTATTACCAATCTTGGGATTTTGAGTCTTTGTAGGAGGTGGCGTCGCCATTTTCGGTGGTGCACTTTTGCCAATCTTGGGAGCATTATGCTTTGTAGGAGGTGGCGCCACCTTTGTCGCCGGTGGACTTTTGCCAATCTTGGGTTTTGGGGTTTTTGTAGGAGGTGGTGCCGTCGTTTTTGGTGGTGCACTTTTACCAATCTTGGGAGATTTTTGCTTTGTAGGAGGTGGAGCCACCTTTGTCGCCGGTGGACTATTACCAATCTTGGGTTTTTGAGTCTTTGTAGGAGGTGGCGCAGCCTTTTTTGGTGGTGCACTTTTGTCAATCTTGGGAGAATTATGCTTTGTAGGAGCTGGCGCCGCCTTTGTCGCCAGTGGACTATTACCAGTCTTGGGTTTTTGAGTCTTTGTAGGAGGTGGCGCCGCCGTTTTTGGTGGTGCACTTTTACCATTCTTGGCTGAATTTTGCTTTGTAGGAGGTGGAGCCACCTTTGTCGCCGGTGGACTATTACCAATCTTGGGTTTTTGAGTCTTTGTAGGAGATGGAGCCGTCTTCTTTGGCGGTGCACTTTTGCCAATCTTAGGAGAATTTTGCTTTGTAGGAGGTGGCGCCACCTTTGTCGGCGGTGGAGTATTACCTATCTTGGGTTTTTGAGACTTTGTAGGAGGTGGCGATGCCTTTGTCACCACTGGACTATCTCCAATCTTGGGTTTGTGAGACTTTGTAGGAGGTGGAGACGCCTTTGTCACCAGTGGACTATCTCCAATCTTGGGTTTCTGTGACTTTGTAGGAGGTGGCGTTGCCTTTGTCACCACTGGACTATCTCCAATCTTGGGTTTTTGAGACTTTGTAGGAGGTGGCGACGCCTTTGTCACCACTGGACTATCTCCAATCTTGGGTTTTTGAGACTTTGTAGGAGGTGGCGACGCCTTTGTCACCACTGGACTATCTCCAATCTTGGGTTTTTGAGACTTTGTAGGAGGTGGCGACGCCTTTGTCACCACTGGACTATCTCCAATCTTGGGTTTTTGGGACTTTGTAGGAGGTGGCGACGCCTTTGTCACCACTGGACTATCCCCAATCTTGGGTTTTTGGGACTTTGTAGGAGGTGGCGACGCCTTTGTCACCACTGGACTATCTCCAATCTTGGGTTTTTGAGACTTTGTAGGAGGTGGCGACGCCTTTGTCACCACTGGACTATCTCCAATCTTGGGTTTTTGGGACTTTGTAGGAGGTGGCGATGCCTTTGTCACCACTGGACTATCCCCAATCTTGGGTCTTTGGGACTTTGTAGGAGGTGGCGACGCCTTTGTCACCACTGGACTATCGCCAATCTTGGGTTTTTGAGACTTTGTAGGAGGTGGCGACGCCTTTGTCACCACTGGACTATCTCCAATCTTGGGTTTTTGAGACTTTGTAGGAGGTGGCGATGCCTTTGTCACCACTGGACTATCTCCAATCTTGGGTTTTTGAGACTTTGTAGGAGGTGGCGACGCCTTTGTCACCACTGGACTGTCCCCAATCTTGGGTTTTTGGGACTTTATAGGAGGTGGCGATGCCTTTGTAGGAATATCTCCAATCTTGGGTTTTTGAGACTTTGTAGGAGGTGGCGACGCCTTTGTCACCACTGGACTATCTCCAATCTTGGGTTTTTGGGACTTTGTAGGAGGTGGCGACGCCTTTGTCACCACTGGACTATCCCCAATCTTGGGTTTTTGGGACTTTGTAGGAGGTGGCGACGCCTTTGTCACCACTGGACTATCTCCAATCTTGGGTTTTTGAGACTTTGTAGGAGGTGGCGATGCCTTTGTCACCACTGGACTATCTCCAATCTTGGGTTTTTGAGACTTTGTAGGAGGTGGCGACGCCTTTGTCACCACTGGACTGTCCCCAATCTTGGGTTTTTGGGACTTTATAGGAGGTGGCGATGCCTTTGTAGGAATATCTCCAATCTTGGGTTTTTGAGACTTTGTAGGAGGTGGCGTCGCCTTTGTCACCACTGGACTATCTCCAATCTTGGGTTTTTGAGACTTTGTAGGAGGTGGTGCCTCCTTTGCTGCCGGTGGATTTTTTCCAATCTTGGGTTGCTGCGGTTTTTGCTTTGTAGGAGGTAACGCAGCTTTTGTCGGCGGTGGACTATTCCCAATCTTTGGTTGCTCGGGTTTTTGCTTAGCCGGAAGTGGTGCACCTTTTGTCGCCGGTGAACTTTTGCTAATTTTCGGTTGTTGGGATTTTTGTGTTGTAGGAGGTGGTGCTACCTTTACTGGCGGTGGACTTTTGCCAATCTTCGGTTGCTGAGGTTTTTGCTTTGTAGGAGGTTGTGCGCCTTTTGTCTGCGGTGGACTTTTGCCAATCTTCGGTTGATCGGATTTTTCCTTTGTAGGAGGCGACGCGGCCTTTGACGGAGATGGACTTTTCCCATTCTTGGATTTCTCCGATGTTTGCTTTGTTGGTGGTGGCGCAGCCTTCGCCTTCGCTGGCGGAGGGGCATCTATTCCACTCTTTGGTTGCTTTGTAGGAGGTAGCGCAACCTTTGCAGGCGGTTGACTTTTGCCAATCTTCGGTTGCCGAGATTTTTTATTTGTAGGAGGTGGCGCAGCCTTTTCCTTCATCGGCGGAGGTGCACTTTTCCCAATCTTTGGTTGGTGGGAATTTTGCTTCGTCGGCGGTGGTGCAAGTTTATCCTCTTTATCGGGCTTCTGGTGCTCCTTGTCTTCCTCCACCGGAGGCGGTGCAACGCCGTGTTTCTCATCAGGATCATCAACTACGCCGCCACCACCATCATTACCGCAAGAATCGCCACCACATTTCCCCTCCGCCCCCTCATCCGGAACATCCCCGCCGCAGGAACGACCATTTTCTTCATAATCTCGTAAAGCATCTTCCTTGGTCGGCTCCAACGCGAAATCTCTATACTTGCCATGATTCATCTTCAACTGCAAAACCCCATCATCCAAAACCCTCCATCTACACGCCTTCTTGCATCTCCTCCACGGCACGAAATACCCGTGCGCGCCGCCATTAACCTTGTCCCGGATATGGATATGACATATCACGAGCAAATCCTCGGCGACCGTTTTCTCGGACAAAGTCCAAGAATACTTCTCGCCCGAATTCAACGTTCGTCTGAAATCTTCCGTTCCCTCCGTGCAATGCACGGCTAATTCGTCTCGGGCCTTATTGTTGATCACAATCTTGTTTGCCCTTCTCTTTTTGCTTGAACTTGCATTTGAACATGTGATCCCAAAACAAAGCACAAATAGAACAAAACAAATACAGACAAGAGTTTTCATTTCTTATCTAATTTGTATAATTGCTAATAAAATTGTTACATGTCCTGATTTGATTGATGACTTGGTTTATGAATGTGTGGTATTTAAATGTTTGATTTATGATTTAATTCTACTAATTTAAGACACTAAATCTGTAACACCCCATTTGAATTAATGCCTAACTGCAGTTATATGTGCAAAAGTAAATTGAATAAAGCTTACAGTTACTAATTCAACAGTTTTTAATTTACTCTCTTCTTTTTTATTATTTCAAAAAAAAAAAATGAATAAAATAAAAATAAAAATAAATAAATGCAAGCTAGGGGTTTTAAATTTTCATAATAATTAATAATTGCAGCAGAAACACTAACATTTCTTTAACTGCTAGGGTTTACATAATAAGATTGGCATCACACACACAAACCAACAAAACAGACAAAGTAAAACTTACATAAAAACTTAACTTAATAATTTAAGGTAAGACATCATCAGCTAGGAGATCGATGCTGCCATTTTTGTCGGAAAATTAAAACGCGGTTGCTTCGGTTGTTTATTGTTTATTTATTAATTGTTTTCAAGCAGCAGAAGGGGCAGGGATGTAAGATACAGCTGGCTCGGGCATGGAAGCCATTATCGACGGCTTAGAGAAAGCTTCGTCGGGCTTGAAATCGAGCGACTCGTCATCGTAAACATCCCACCATTTCTTGACAAGCATTTTGATGTCTTCTCTGTCCATGTTGGCTTCTTCTCCGGTGTATCTCCATGGCTTTGATCCCTGCATGCATGCATGTACATGAGATTAATTAATTAATTAAATTAATAAATACTATAATAACTAATTAAAAAATATAAACATGTAATGATTTTTTTGTGAAATGATTAATATATACTTACAGCAGCACAGTAGTGAACAACTTTAACTTTGTCCAGTTCGACGTTCTCGGGGTGGCGCCACAGCATTGCAAGTACGAGGTTGTAAACCAGGGGAATCGGTTGGTAGGTTTTTTCGAAGAACATGTTCAAGAAATCCTGTGTTCATTTAATTTCGATTAATATCTAGAAATTAATTAATTAGATAAAGATAATTGTAATATTGTAATCATACAAAATGCAACCAGAAAAGTTACATGACTAGGGGTGGGGAATATATAGACCAATACAAGCACTTTCGAAAAGATTCCGATTTTATTTTTTCTAATTTCTAAAAAAATAAAACACCAAAATTATTCGAAGTCGAAAATTATGGAATTGGAACCAATGGAATTCTCAATTCCGGCCCATACATCGACATATAATAAATAATCCATACTAATATTATAAAAAAAAATTAAATAAAAAAAAGCAGTAATTTTTTGGAATTATTTTTCATAATCTTAGAAAATCTAATATTTTTTTAATAGAAACTAAGGAAATCTAATTTTTGGGAGAAAAAAAGAAAAAAGAATATTCCATTTTTTTAAAATAGGAATTAAGATATTAATTACCTGCTCAGCAAATGGTGTAGGTGGGGTGATTTGCAGAGTTTCAAGAAGAGCTTCATAAGTAGTCTTGTTAGGCTCGTACACAAACATGCCGGCGTTGAAGTACAACGGAGGTGGTGGACCCATCTCCGCTGGCCACGTCACCTTATTAGGGCACTGCTGGCAATACCCAACCGAAAACTGGCGCGAGTGGCTCCACGTTTTCTCACAGAAGCAATCCATGACAGCGTAAAAGTAACCGTCAGGCGCGTCGAGAAGGTGGTCAATGTTTTCATAAACCTGAATATCTGCGTCCAGGTACACCATCTTACTGTACTCCAAGAACTGCACTTATGGTAAAAAAAAAATTAATTAATAATTAATAAACAAATTACGTATATATGTGTGTGAATATTATTATATATACTAGTATGAAGAAATAATTAATTTAATACGTGACAATAACAATTGTAATAAAAAAAATACATTATACTATGATAACAAAATTTACTAGTAATATTTAAATTACAGAAACAAAATCAAACATTCATACAAATATGATAATATGAAATTGATCGTAAAATATTATATAATTACTCAATTTGTTTAATATGAAATTGATCGTAAAAAATAAATGAATCAATTAGTAAAGGAAAAATTAATAATAATAAAATCCACATTAAAAAAAGTTAGTAGAGGAAAAAAATAGATTTTAAAGATTCCATTAAAAGAAAAACTGAATAATAAAGAAAGAGGCAAATTGTTGCTGAGATAAGAAATTAAAAAATAAAGAAAAAATATAATTACAAATTTAGTACGTAGAGAAAAAAAAAATTACAAAAATTTCCTTAGGATTTTTAGGGTTTCACTATCGTTTCTTTCTTTTATATATAAGATTAGGCTAATTAATTATTCTATTACTTACGTTCCAGATACGGAGTTTGGAGTAGTTGATGACGTAGTAAGCCATGGCGAACTGAATCTGGTTTGCCGGCGGGTATATCGGCTCGATCTCCTTCACAATGCATCCCTGTGATCGGAGAAGCTCACGGTGGTCCTCCGGCACGTCCGGCAATATCGCCACCACTAGCGGGTAAGCGCTTTTGACCTTCCTCAAACCCTTGGCCAAACCCACCACTCCTTTCACGTAGTCACCGTTTCCAGCCAAGAAGGTCACGTAAGCTCTGTCGACGGCCGTGATTTTTCCGGCGCCGGAGATTACGTCGGTCTTTTTTACTTGAGGTGCCATTTTTAGAGAGAGAAAGCTAAGGGGAGAGAGTAAAACTAGGAAGCTACTATATAATTTTTGTTTCTGAGCTTCAATAGCACGAATTGAGCAGTTTAAATAGGAGTGAAATGAAATGTTAATGCATGTGAAATGCACTCCAAATGAAATTCAAATCAAGAATGAAGATGATTTGGTACTTAATCTCACCGTTGATGCTGCCTTGTCACTAGAGGCAATGGCTTGGATCAATAGGATGGGGATATATTCAATTTGGGTTGATATTGATACTATTTGAATATACTATTTCTACTTTATTCTTTCTTTATTTAATTATTTATTTATTTATTTGGTTTCTTTTTCTTTTTAATTTTAAATTATTTGATGGAAAATAAAAGCAAGTGAAATTTGAGGGGATGAACTATATATGAAGTGGGAGTCGTTATCTTTTGGAATATGTTAGAATATAAAAATAAGGTTGGGGTGGCAAAAAAGGATCAAAAGTACTAATTGAAATAGTCAAACAAAACGTAGACATTTCAAATTAAAATTAGCTTCTTTTTTTTTTTTTTTTTTTAATTTTTTTTTTCAAAATTTTCTCAATACTCGTGATGATTATTCATCAACATCTTGAGGAATCGACGAGACCAAATCATACATTTTAATTAGCAATTATTGCAAAATTACACATATACTTTATTTGGGAAACCATACTCTTTAGATGTTACATTAAATTTATTTATACACTGTGAAAATTCAACCATAGGTCTTATTAAATAACCACTCGTTAAGCACGTATACATATGAATAACATATGTTTTCCAATCAGGTTAATGCACGAAGCAATTATTATCGATCGGAAAAGGACAAGGATCGGTTTGCATGTTTCGGAAGCTAAGAATACCTTTCTTGATTTATAACAACGTACATTAATCAAGAGTATTGACCAATTGTGCACCTTTTAGTATGTGCAATGGGCCAAAGGTTGTTTTGTTTTTATTGCATCTATTATTCGTCCGATTTAATTTTGAGGATAAATAAAATTAAATTATGTATGTAATGAAAAAAAATATATAAATATATATGTAAGTTTGGCCTCCCTTTTGGCAATATATATAATGTGAAAGGAAAAAGGAAGGAATAGTTCATAAACCCAAAGGGCTGCTGTAGGAATATGCAACTTTTTATCAAAGCAACGAATTCGAATTTCATCTTCTTCCGAGTTGTCTGCAAAAGACAAATTCATAATTCAATAATTAGTCCAATTATTAATTAGTTGGGTAAATTCCACTTTCCCATTGTACTTGGCTCGATATCACTTTACCCTCTTCTACTTTCAATTGCATCGATTTGCCCCCTTGTACTTTGGCTCGGTATCACTTTACCCCCTTCTACTCTCAATTGCATCGATTTGCCCCCTGTACTTTAAAATTTGTATCAATGTGGCCCTCCCCATTCATTTTCGCAATTTTTAGCTTAACACCACTTGAACAAAGGTTTAAAATTGCCAAAAAACCCCCCCCCCCAATTTTA